GGCCAGTGCACACGCATGCCGCTGTGCAGGGTAAACTCGCACAGTTCATAGATCACCCCCGAAACCTCACCATCTCTCATCTGGAGTTTAGCTGGGAACAATTTGACCTCCACATGGGAGATGCCAAATTCTTCCAAAGCAGCTGCCTCTTGACAACAGCGTAACAAGAGATGGGATACGCTATGCAGAGAGTAATAAATTGCACCGGCTATTTTTTCTGTCCAGAGCGTTTTTCTCCTCCTTCAGGATGCAGTCCCAGTGCCGTCTTCTCCTCGAGTCCTTTCCTCACTACACCAGTCAGAGTGGCCCTGCCTCTCCCTCGTCCTAGCTCAGTCACTCTCCAGCACAGCACCTTGTTTTATTTCCTTTACAGCATTTACCACTGTCGGAACATATTTTCTTTACTTCTTTATTGACTTAGAATTTACTCCTCCGTAAGGATTGCAATACTTTCTGAGGGAGGGACCGGTCCTGGCTGAAGAATCATTGTCATTCATTTGACAAGTGTTTTTAAAAATGTTGGAAACTGGGTATACAATGTTGAGCAAAGCAGACATGACCCTTGATGCTTGCCCTCGTGCTGTCTACAATGTAGAGGATAAAACCTATAATGATCAAATAACTATGCAAACCAAGGACAGTTATAACCATGACCAGCGCTAGGAAAGAGAGATATGGGCTGTCAGAGCTGATGATGGAAACTGTCATGGAGGTTGGAAAACATTTCTCTGAGGAAGTGACTTTTGAGCGAAGATTTAGAAGATGAGCAGGCATTAACTAAGTGAAGAGATTCTAAGCTGAGGGCACAGCCTATGGAAAGACCCTGTAATGACAGGGAAGATGATGTGTGTGAGGGTCAGGAAGAGGCTGGTGGGTGAGAACACAGGAAGCTGGCAGGAGTAGGGTGCAGGAATGGATGGGGGGACTGGCAGGGCTGGACTGCGCTGGGCTTTAGCCAGGACACAACAGGAAGCTATCAAATCCTGTGTGTGTGAGTGTGTGCGCGTGTGTGTGTGTGCGTGTGTGTGTGAATGTGTGTGTGTGAACGTGTGAATGTCTACGTGTGTGTTCACAGGGCAGTACAACTGTAAAGATGATGTGGCGACTCTGTGGAGGGCATTCATTGGGAGAGAGATAAAAATGTGTAGGTAGACCACTTCAGAGGTCATGGCAGTATCCCAGGGTAGAAGTGATGGACTCTGGATTCAGGTAGTGCTGGTGGAAACGAAAGTAAGTAGACAGATCCCAGAAACATTA